TATCACCAATAACTCTCAGGTTTTACTATAATCTATCACCAATAACTGTAAGATTTTACTATAATCTGTCACCAATAACTCTCAGGTTTTGCTATAATCTATCACCAATAACTGTAAGATTTTACTATAATCTATCACCAATAACTCTCAGGTTTTATTATAATCTATCACCAATAACTGTAATATTTTACTATAATCTATCACCAATAACTCTCAGGTTTTACTATAATCTATCACCAATAACTCTCAGGTTTTACTATAATCTATCACCAATAACTCTAAGATTTTACTATTATCTATCTCCAATAACTCTCAGGTTTTACTATAATCTATCACCAATAACTCTCCGGTTTTACCATAATCTACCACCAATAACTCTAAGATTTTACTATGCCATCGGTAGACACTGTTTTTTTGCTGTCCAGATAACATAGAGGCGTTTACCGTTTCTATTCTACAAACAAATTAATGTGCACTTGGGCTGTTTGCATCAACATCCGAGCTTTAAAGCTTCGGAGGTCGGTCTGCTATATCTGTTTTTATATACCGTATAGAAATGGAAAGGACATCACAAGAGAGGCAGACCCAAAGTGACTTGGAGAAGCACAGTAGAGTCTGAAATGAAGTCCTGGAACCATGCGTGGGGGACGTTGACCTAGATGGCCAAAAACAGACAGAGCTGGAGATCCTTTGTTGCTGCCCTAAACGCCAGATGGCATAACGGGTAGTAAGTAAGTAAGAATAGAAATGGAAAAGGCGGGGACACCATGAAAACAGCTAGAAAAGGATGCAAAGGACAGGCTTCGCTGGAGAAATGTTGTTGATGGCCTATGCTCCACTTGGAGTTCTAAGGGGCAAGAGAGAGAGATAGAAATCTATAGAGCTCCAGCCATCTGAAATGACCGCCCCGCCTTAGTTCCAAATTGCAATACTTTCGATGTGCAGAACACAATATACTTTCTCTGTCCCTTCAGTTGAGTCTTCACTGTTAAGCAGTGAATCTTTGTTAATGTGAGTGCGAGTATGTATGTGTATGTATGGGTCTGTTTGTTTATTTGTTTGTGTGTATGTGTTTGTTTGTATGTGTGTGAGTGTGTATGTGAGTGTGTGCATGTGTACGTATAGAGGTATCAGTTACCCCATTCTGAGAATGAGCTTTTAGCTTATATATATTATATTATAACATATATACATACATATGTATATATATTCATAATACACATATCATATATTTGCATGTATACAAAATGTTTTGTTGATATACATTTAAACATTCATATACGCATGTATACACACACACACACACACACACACACACACACACACACACACACACACACACATACATACACATACATACATATAACCACACACACACAAACACACACACACACACACACACACACACACACACACACACACACACACACACACACACGCATAATACTAAAACCAGCAAACAGATACCCCCCACACTTGCAGAAAAAGATCTCTTTTATTCAACACCCCCCCCCCCCTTCCCTTCCAACATCCCTTTATTTATTTTCATTTTATTTTTTGCGATACAGTATTCTTTGTAGCAAGAAATAACAGTTGCATCAAACAGTAAGGTCCTCTGCTCCATCAACTCAGTTTGGGTAAGTTTAAAACTTAACAGGTCATTTCAATAACGTACCGAAGTCCAATTTTGCGAAAATAGAGATTTTTGCATAGGATGATAAAAGAAAGCAGACTGCATCCTGTGAGCCTTCTATGAAGATTGTGTCTTTGATTTCCAGAGCTATGTCCCCTGTTTTGGCTCGCCTTTCCCATACAATGCTAAAAAAATATATTTACGAGAAACAGTTTTTGGCCTTTTTCTCAAAACTACCCAAGTGTGGCTTAGGCACGTTATTGAAATAACCCCTTCATTATTGGTCTTCGAATCTGCCTGTCTGGTCAAACCTGGGTTGAGAGAGATACATCGTCCCGGAAGAAAGACCAACCAGATACTCGATAAGAATTCTCCCCGTACGGGAATCGAACTCAGGTCTTCTGCGTGCCACGTGGAAGCGCCTAATCGCTACACCCCAAGCGATGATGCAGCATAGACGATGCCAATAAATGCGGATGAAGATTGTACATTCACTTTCGTGACTGTTTTTCCCGAAAGCGAACGGCAATCTAGAATCTGGTGGCATCACGATTGATTCTACATGTATATGAGTAGATGCAGATGTCGGTGCCCTTTTTCGCTTTGTTTTGTTTTCTTTTCTTTTCTTCCTCCGAGAAGTGTCAGTAAGACAGCTTCTGTTCAGAGCTATCTGATATCCGTCAGTGTAATAAAGTCACAATCGGGATCGTGTTGTCTTTTGCTTTGTCTTTATGTTTTGAAGGACAGGTCACACAATATTCTTGTCAATGTTAGTATGGTGTCGAACTGGGAAGATTTGGAAGTCAGCAAAGTCTTGTCAATGATGGTATTGTTCCCTTCTAGGAGGGTTTGGAGGCTAATTAAATCAGCCCAGTATCTTGTCTTCATACCGTCGCTTGAGTCGCTTGAGTCGTCGAGGAAACTTGTCCTTGGGATCGGTGCTTGGGGGGGGGGGGTCCCTTCCGCTTCACGGTGAGATAGAACAATAGTATGACTAAGGAGCGGATGCCCCACTGTATGTAATGTCCACATTGGTGTTCCAGGAAAACAAGTAGTCGGGCCTACAATGTTATTGTTCATTGACTACACACGTAAGGAGATCTGCGCTCGGCTTCATCTCTGAGAAGACGGAAGGTGAGTACAGCATTTGCTGGCAGCGTTTGTCATATCAACGATGTTTTTATAGTTTAACTCTCTTCGTACCATGAAGTATCGGCGCATGGTCAATAAGTGTTTAATGATGACAACGATGCATCGGCGCATGGGACAGAAGGAATTAAAGATATCAATGTTTGCTAAAGCTACGCGCGTCTGATGACCATGTCATAACTACAACACTTTTATGTTTTGTTTTAAAATGTTAACAGTACTGACAAACGGATGGACTCCTGCATACATCATAATAATGTTGTTTTCTATGAGTTAATTCAGACAATTTAATGGACATATTACTTTGTAGTGAAGTTCTCAAAATTCGCGATGTCACCCAGTGATACCCTGATTAGAATGTAACATCTGTCGGGTACGCATTGCCTGTTGAGTTTACAAACTCATTCTGTGGCCTGGTCAGAACTACGTATCGTTTGTCTTGTCTCAAAAGTTCTGCTAACAAAGTGACCAGAAACACATCGTCTGTGGATTTGTCTCACTCTGTCCACTGTACGAACAAACACAATAGACGTCTGTTTGGTCAACAATGTCTCAGTTAGTAGATGGAAAATGGCTTGTGGGTTTTTTAGAGCCTCAAACATGGTTGAATTCATGGGATTCATGGGATGATGACGTTTGTGCATGGACACCGCTGTAAGTTCCCCTACCACGTTCTGATGGCTTGGTGTATCTGCTGCTGCATGTAGCCCTGCTGTGGGAGCTGGCCCGTCTGTGCCATGTGGCCGCCCATGTTGCCCTGGGTGCAGTAGGCGCTGGCGGCGGGGGCGGTGCTGTAAGCGAACGGGTTCACGTTGTAGGGCCCGGGGGCGGAGTAAGGCGTGGGGGGCGGACCCATGCAAGGCTTCCCGTCACGAACGAGGACCGGCACAGCCACGCGTCGAGGCGGCTGCATGGTCTGAAGCTCCAGGGATTTATCCTGGCTCTGACGCTTGCACTTGTAGCGACGGTTCTGGAACCAGATCTTGATCTGAGTGGAGGAGAGTTTGAGGAGGTTGGCCATCTGTTCCCGCTCGGGCGCCGACAGGTATCGCTGCTGTTTGAACCTTCGCTCCAGCTCAAAGACTTGAGACTGGGAGAAGAGAACCCGTGGTTTTCTCTTCTGCCGCTGCTTCAGGAGGGTACAGTCGCCATTTGACGAGCTCTCAGTCGTCGATGAGTTTGCTGATGAAGATGACGAGGAGGAGGAGGAGGAAGAAGAGGAGTTTGAGGATGAAGACGAAGTTGAGGTTTTCGTTTTCTCCTTCTCGCTTCCAGCCCCGGAGTTAGCAGTGGGAGGGGGAGGAGGATGAGGGTCATCCAGAAATGTGGGGGCACTGGAATATGGGACACCCTGGTGGTGGCCTGTCGCCTTGTGGGGTGAGGCTTGTTGGGAGGAGCCATGGAGGGGGGACAGCTGGGAGGAAACTCCTGAACTGTGTTGTTGTTGTTGCTGCTGGTGGTGGTGGTGAGGCTGCTGCTGTTGGTGGCAGTGGTGAGGATGCGGTGACTGCTGCAGGTGTCTGTGGGGGCCGTGGTGGAGCGGCGATAGCTGCTGGCAGTTTTGTTTGTCTGGGGGAAAGGAAATGAAAATCATTGTTATTACTAATAATAGATGTTATTTATTAAAAATGGAACGTCTATAGTTCATCTAGGGTGCGGTGGCGGAGCGGTTAGTGCGCTCCTTTCCAGATCGGAAAGTCCAGGTTCGAGCTTCGGTTTGGACAGGGATTTTTTCACCCCCTCCTGCCCACCCAGCTGTAATGGGTACCTGACTTCGAGTTGATGAAGTAACTGGCCACCCTACCACAATATACCGAAGGCCCAGGAAGTTGTCTCTCTAACAAGGAAATCTCCGATGTGCGGATCGGATGCGAGAACAACTTTACTTAACTTTTTATACCTCATCTATACTCTTTACAATCTATAATACTATCCAAGCAAGACTTTGGAAGGCCAAGAAACGTTCTCAGCTTCCCGGGAAACATACGGTGCAAGTAGCCTGTCAATCGCTCAGGTAACATAAAACTGACAACTTTTGCGTCAGAAAAGCTGTAGAGAGGAAGAGCCCGAAACAGCGACGCATTCTCTCCTGATGATCTCCATGCTAGAGTCCGGGATACGGATAATTCGGCTGTGAACAGTGCATACGGCTGTTTTTGACTACGCTGGTACTCATTTCCACACATATTTCTACACACTCCGCAAGAAATTTCACCAAAACCTTTGGTGCAAAATTACCTAGTGAGATGTCTAAATTCAACATTAAAAACAGAACGCAAGTTCAGCTCCGCAGTTCTGAGAAAACGGCGTACTCGCTTGAACTGGTCAATGAGTTGACTCCCGTGTATGCATACCTTATAATTTACTGTGCAGTTTGACATGTCGAGCAGAGGGCTGACCAGGTACATGAAAGGCTTGGACGATATTATCAAAAACGTTTGTTTGTGTGTAAGTACGAACAATTTAATCTTGTAGTGATCAATGGTGTTGACCTCGGTTAATTTATTGACCTTAGGTCACGGTAGCCGTTATTTGTAAATTTAAGTATTCCTTATGTATTGTT